ATAAATTGGATTAACAAATAAATTATAACGAAATCATTGTCATTATATAGGAATACTTATTACTTGCTGTAATTTTCAGGCAATAGCTTCCAAACCAACATCACCTCCAACATTTCTTATTCTTCCAGACAAGTCATGAAAATGTCAAAGCAATCACAGAAAAACATAAGACATCAGGCAAAATAGTAGCACTGCTTTACATGGCAAATGAAATATAAGTAAGGTAAAATAATTTAGCAAGCAGCCTATAAACCAAGCCAAGCATAATGAAGCTAAGAACCAAAGAATGCAACAAATCAATTGTCCCAAATAAGTAGGTGAATCTCCAATAACTGAGAATGCAAGTTACTGGGCATATTGTGATGGAGGAAGTTCCGTGTCAAGATTAATCCACCAAAAACGCTCTCTCCCTTAATGTCCACAGGAGAGAGAACTGTAGAAGGGCTTGCAGTGACGTCATTATAGGCAGTATATATCAAAAGGGCAATCAGCACAAAATGTTGGTAATTAGCTGTGCTAGCCATTTTCCAATATTTATTCTTTAATCATAAGAATATAAGAGTAGCCCTATTGAACTCAAGTTTATTCATTATAGCGTCCTGTGATTTTTTATTACAACTTTAGAATTACATCCAGTTCTTCTGATAGTAGAGACTATTCTGGTCAACCCCCCCCCCCAAAAAACCCCAATTTTCTGGGGTACCCAGGAAACTAATCATCTTCACATACTCTGTTGACCTGGCTGCCTGTTCCTTATCTGTGAAATGTGTTTTGATATTATTATGCCCAAACTATTTCTCTTGGTATACTAATTAACTTATGTTTAATTGCTTTCACTCTAATTAAGTAAAGTCTGCAATCAGTTGCTATAGCAACATTTCCATTAATACCAATCATCTTTTGATGTTCAACTCTTTTCTTAAATCTATAGCAGTGTTCAGTTGGAATGTCAAATGCTTTAATAGATAAACATTTTGTTTAAAATAGATTCTTAACCATATGCTGCCCTTCAATAGAAATATAAGCACAGCTGAATTGACCATTTCCCCCCTCTTGCCCTTTTATGATAGCAACATGGCCAAATTGTCTGCCTCCCAGTTTTGACCCATGTCAGGTAAAACACATAGTTGAAATCAGCTCTTTGGTTGGATTTATTCATGACTTCTTATATATTGTTATTGTTAGATTTATGCCACACTTTGGGTCTGAAGCAGAGAATTGCTTTGGAGAGCATGGGCATGTATGTCTGTTTTCTTGGTACTTTCTTAAAGAAGCAATATCTTTTCTTGGGCCCTTACAGTAGCAGTGCAATTATGGGAAAAGTTGTGTTTGAAGGAGATGCTAATGGTACAACAAGGTGCTTTGGAGCTGGGATGCCTCCTTATTTCAAATATATATTCTCCAGGGGATCACACAGCTATGAAGAGCCCTGTTGGCCCACACCCCTTTGAAAGCACCTTTTCTGCTTCAGAGTCAATGTGCTGCATAACCCTAATATGAAGAATATCCACTAGCTGCTTTGCCAGCCTTGTACCATCCTTCCTTTCTTGTGTGGCACATCCATCAAGCTATATTACTGAAGGCTTCTATATTCATCTCACCTATTTCTGAAATTCATAGGTATCATTTTCTTTAGCTGGTACAGGCCAGCTTCATTCAGTTATTTTGAAATTGAACATAGATGGAACAAGCCAAAATCTCTTGATATTGGATGAAAGTAGCTGGGACATGTTAACAATGAAAGTAAAGACTTATGCCATCATCCAGAAACAAAGAGGCATCATCAGAGCCTGGGACAAGGGTAGAATTGTTATCATTATGATAAACCATGGTTTAATTGTGCATGGGAATGGAATCCTCCATGTGACCTGATATTGGAAGAGACACCGAAGACTCCAATACCTGTGGCACAGAGTTGAACTGTGGCATTCTTGGTGCTGTCTGAGCTTGGTTGGTTGTTTGCAGACATTTCATTTCAGTGCAGTGATATTACCTAGTTGGGTAAGGACACGTCTGCAAGCAAATAGCCAAGCTCAGGCAGCATCAAGAATGCCACACCAAAGACTCCCAGGAAAAATCAACAGTGGTGATATAAGAGTAGACATTCTCTTACAAACAATATTGTTTGTAAAGGTCAGGGCTCCAAACTGAAGGCTGAATTAGTTTTGACTGAGTCCTTATATGTGTACTAGAATTGGTACTATTTCACGTTCCATGAAAGGTCTGTAATTGCTTATTATTTTGTCATTAGTTGGGAAAGACTGGTGAGGTAGCCAAGTTTTTGACATTAAATGGTTTAGGAAACTGAAACCCAAGGCAGATCTTGCTGAACTCCACCAGCATTCAAGGAAAATAAGGACAAATGAAGTATAAGGGGTGGCAGAGTAATGCATGATGTGGGGGGGGGGGGAGACATATGTTCAGAGATAGTATTTAAGTGGCTGTGAGTCCTAGAAACAAAGATTTCATGGTGAATATGAAAATGATTCATCGTCTATCAAGCGTAAAAAAGGCAAAAATCGATTGTCAAGATTTTTATAAAGTGGGCTGAGTATAACACAGTCACTATTATAATGTGATTATATAATTAGCTATTTATATGGTGTATGCACAATTATATAATATATGAACAATGTTGATGACCCAGTCTCAGAAGTATTACAGGATTGTAAAACCTGAGAAAACAACAGCCAGCAAGATTCTACGCTGATCAGGAAAGGCTTAAGCATTGGGATTAAGCAGGGAGAGTAGTATGATAATGGGGCAGTCAGGGGTTCTAAAATTATGAATGAAAAGAACAATATTTCTGAATTAAAAGGTAGAGTTCATGGTTCTGCTTTCAGAGAGGGATCTTCTCCATTAGAAGGAGTCAGAGGGAATTTGAGGCTCTAGAAGCCTCTTCCAAGATGATTGAGACTCTACAGTCTTTTTTTTAAAGATTAAATAAAGTCCCACTTTTTTCAGTGGGTCTGTTCTAATGACAGTTACAGCTTATTTATCTTACCAATTTCAGTGATCTAGTTTGCTTTAATCTGGATCTATATGCATATGTTGGTTACTATCATATATCTTTTATTGTTGTATAAATTGTGTGTTTGGGGATTGGATGAGATGTAATTATGATAATTGATAACAGTGAAGGGGAGGAGAGAATCTCTTTTTATGTTCCAAACAAAGCCATCCAATTTTGTGTTGATTGCAAGGATACTATTATACAATAGCCCAAGCCATTCACTTACGTCTCCTACAACTTTTAAAAAATCTCCATAAGATTGATTAGTAATGTTCAGGATTATAAAGTTGTTTTCTATGAGCCAAGTACTTATCCATAAGACCAGTATTTTGTGTGGTGACATTTAATTTTATGATTTTCTGGTATTAATGGGATATAAATGTGACAATATATTTATTAACATGAAGTTGCGCGAGACAAAATCAGACCAGTATTAAATGGCCATTTGTTTACTGTGGTTATTCATATTCTGCATAACAATCATCCCAAAGCAGAGTACAATAGTATAAAGAATTATAAATAAAAATACAGGAAATATTGTGGTGAAACAAATTTGTGACTTCTTCCCACAGATTCTTTGATGGCCATGGCTGGCGGGAGAGGGAGGGAGAGTCTAGCTGAATGGGCTTCTGGGTTGGTGGCTGCCTTCCTTCCTCCGTTGTCATCCTACAAGGTTGTTGCTGGCAATGGTCAGGGCGGACGACTTCAGTGATAGATTTTGCTTACCTTCCTCCAGAAGGAATGGGCTGGGAGAGGTAGGGAGAGAAGAGTTGGATGATGGCTAATGATGTGCTATGTATAGATAAGTGGAAATCCTCTTTCTGTTTCTCCTTTAATGCAGAACTCATTAAATTATGATGAAATTTTAGAGATTCAACACCAGAAATGTGAACTGTGTCAATGTTAGAGAGCTACAGAGATAACCTTGGAGAAACTATGCAGAGACAGTTTCAATTACATGTACACAAACAAGTTTTAAGCCTGGAAAACAAAGAAAATATTAGGAAGAAACTCAGATTGGTTCTACTCTAACTCCATGGGGCATAAGAAGGAGGGAAGGGAAAGTATAGACAGGGCTTCAAGATTCTGTTACTTTTTTTATTATTACACACCATCAAGTTGTTGTTGACTCTTAGCAATCACATTATAAATAGATTTTCTCAAGGATCTGTTCCCAACCTGGTCCTTAAGTTTTCCAATGGTGCCCCTGTGGTTGCTGTAATTGAGTCCATCTACCTTATCCCTGGTCATCCTCTTCTTCTCTTTCTTTCCACCTTTCCCAGCATTAGAGTCTCTTCTAGGGAGCTGGGTTTTCACATAATGTGTCCAAAGTAGGATAATTTGAGCCTGCCTTGGGTGAGAACTCTGGGTTGATTTGTTCAATGATCCATCAGTTTGTTTTCTTGGCTATCCATGCTATTCTTAGGCATCTTCTCCAATACCAAAGCTCAAAAGTATCAATACTCTTCCTGTCCTGCTTCTTCAGAGTCCAACTTTCACATTCATAGAATGGTCATGTATTATTTTATGCTGTTCCTCCCTTGATGATTATATGGATAACATGTTGGCTGTTCCCATTGGTTCATGGGACAGCTATGTAGCTGGTGCAGCCAGCTCAGTGTTCCAAAACTAGAAGTAACAGTAATAATTTTTTGGAGACATTAAAGCAGTGGCATCTTTCACAGGACTTGGGGTGCTGCTTCAAAAGCCGTTCCTGAATGGGTGCTTTCATTCTGAGCAGCTTTCAGGGCAGGTGCACAAATTTTGCAAAAGGCACAGTTACGGTAATGAATCAGAGGGAGATGCTTTGAACTCCTGTGCATTGCAGAATACCTTATTCAAATGTTTTGCACAGCCTTGCTAATTACTAACATTAATTTACTAATTACTGCAATTGTGGCCCTTCCAGTATAATAAATATGCAGCATCTAACATTTAATTAGATGTTTGAAAATGAGGCTGATTTTGATATACTTTTAAATTTCAGATATGGCAGTGTGGAGGCTCATTGGAGATTGTAACATGTTCACATGTTGGCCATGTTTTTCGAAAAGCTACTCCCTATACATTTCCTGGTGGTACTGGTCATGTAATTAACAAAAATAATAGACGACTTGCAGAAGTGTGGATGGATGAATTTAAAGATTTCTTCTACATAATATCTCCAGGTAAGGAAGCATTTTATTATAATTTTGTAAGAAATATACACACACACATACACACACAGACACGTGTATGTGTGTGTGTATTTACGCACACATCTACATACAGCAGACATGCACACAAACATGTCCACTTATATATAATGAAAGAAGTCCACCACATACACCTGGTTTCGGCATATTGGTACTGAGATTTAATTTTTATTGCTCTGTCAGTTGCTATAAATCCAAATGATTGTGATGAAATTCATTTAAGTCGTGTAATGTCTTCTGTAGTAAGTGTTACCATAATATTTAAATTATAATAAGGAAAAACTAAAAAAAAAAAAAGCTCCCATGCTGATCAGCACATTTCACATTATATCCAAATATATAATTTAACCCAGAGCTTTCAGAAAACAAAACAAAAAGAAGAAAAGCAAACAGCAGAGCTAATTCAAGAGTGGGAGGGTTGGTGGAAAGAAAGCACATCATTTTTCCTGTTCTTTCTTGGCCTCTGTGATTGGTCTCATATATATTCATATATTTCCCAGGTACATAATGTTGAGGACTTATTCAGATCTAGTTTCAAATAAAATCACAGAGAGAAAAGAGTACCCCAGGAAAGATGGCTTATTATAAAATCTCTGTCTTAGAGTGAAATGGTACATGACCGTAAGGCAGAGATGAGATATTTGTGATCCTCCAGATGTTACTAACATGAGCTCCCATCAGCCCCAACAAGCACGGGTGCCCCGCTCGTGATAGAAGCAATTTATCAAGAACTTCAGCAGGTTATGCTGTTTGTTTCCAAGACTGACATGCTTGATTTGTATTCTATTGCATACCCTTAGGCAGCAATCATAGGTGTGCATATCCCAATAAACACCCCTGAATACACTGGTGTTTAGTTCTGAGGAAACATGCATAGGAATGCCCTCTAAGCAGTTAAGATTGTACTTTTTTGCAGGCATATCTAGGGATTAGTTGCAATAAACAAGTGAAGGGTGCTGATAATTTCTGGCCTGGAGAGGAATGTGTAGTAGCTACCTTCTCACACTAAATGTCTCTTCCACAGAATGCGACAGAATTGTGGTGCTCCAGTTTTTAAGTGGTAGTAGCAATAGTAGGTAGTAGTAGTAGTAGAAAATAAAAACCTTTTCTTCAAATAACCTTAAGGTTATAGCAAAAGGGAAGCAGCCATGGAAAATGGGGGCATTTCTACTCAGTTCTGCCCTGGAAGTTACCCCTTCAGTGTCATTTAAAAAAAATTATGGATTTAGCAAGCTTCCAAAGGAGACTGCTCACAGTCACTCATGTCCCGGTCACCTCCTGATTGGACTACTGTAATGCGCTTTTCACGGGGCTGCCCTTGAAGAGTATCTGGAAGCTTCAGCTGCTGCAGAATGGAGTGATGCGGGCAGTTATGTGTGCTTCCAGAACAGCACATGTTACACCTCTGCTCCACAAGCTACATTGGCTGCCAGTCTATTTGCGGGTAAATTCAAGGTGCTGGTTTTAACATTTAAAGCCCTTCATGGCATGGGGATAGGTTATCTGAGGGACTCCCTCTCCCCAATTACATCTGATCCGCCCCATCAGATCTGGCAGAAGAGGCACGCTGCAGGTCCTGTCTACTAAGGATCTACATTTGGTGGGTCCCAGGAGGTGGGCCTTCTCTGCCATGACGCCCACCTTATGGAACATTCCCCCCCCCCTACAAAATTAGCTCCATCAGTGTTGATGGTCAGGAAGTCCCTCAAGACCTGGCTATGTCATTCGGCCTAGGGCTCCCAGGGGACTGGTGAAATTCTATGATGGCTCCATCACTGTGGCTGATATTCACTCCTGTGCTCTGTGGCTTTATTTTTTAAATAAATAAATCATTTTTTTTATTTAAATAAAAAATAAACCCATGACTCGTTGGGTCATCCTTCTTTCCACATATAATATAGGCTGGTGCTGTTTCCCCTCCTTCATGACTCTCAGCAGAGCCCCAGTGAAGCCGCTGCCACTGCTGCCGCTGCCTCCTCCTCCTCCTCCTCAGCTATCAGCTAATCCATGGAACTGCCTGCCACTTTGCTGGGGGATAGCCATGGACCATGAGGAAAACTGCACCCCTGTTCCCTATCCTGATGTGTTCCCAGTGGTCTCCTCCCTCCAGGGAGGAAGAGGGCTCACCCTTCAACTGCGGGCACCCCCCAACCAGACTTACCTCACCAGCAGGCATCTGAGTCACTCCTTTGTCCTTCTCTCGCCACCCACCATTGCTAAGAGATTTCAGTTTTCTGCCTCGGTTCCAAAGCAGCCAATTGCCACTCACCTTTCAGGCCTTACCACCAACCAGTTGGACACAGGGGACAGAGGGAGGTGGGAAGGAGGGCAGGGATATGCCCCTCCCATCTTCCCTTGCACCATGCAAACTACAGGTTCCTGGGAAGTCGTAAATCACGATCACGTGACCGCAGCTAACCATGGCAATGCTGCAGCTGTCACAACTTTGCGAATAGAACTTGTGTGACGATCCTTGAATTTCAATTCCACAGGAGTCATGGGTCCCAGATTTTGGGTGCATTCTTTAAGTTAGCCCATTTGAGGTACCTTGCTTCAAAAATTGTTGCCCTATGATGCACCATTTCAGCCAATTGAAGTTACATACAGAGAGACAGGAGAGTGTTAGTAATATATAGATAACAACTGTTGTACATTTTAATAATGACTGTTTTATGTCTGTTTTATATATTTATTGTTTTAATTAATTTTTG